TCTTCTTCTTCTTCTTCCTCTTCTTCTTCCTCCTCCTCCTCCTCCTCCTCCTCTTCCTCTTCCTCTTCCTCTTCCTCTTCATAAAAACACTCCATACTGAGATTAGCAATTTAACTTCTTTGTTGGCTTTTTAAAATAGAAGTCCTAAAACCACACCTTTTAAAGAAGAATTTTAATTGTTGATTTTAATTAGTTAATTGCTGCTTTACTTTGTTGTACTATTTCAAGTCTTAATGAAATTAAAGTTTTGTGTTCCAATCTTGTTGTCACTAGGAGACCCAAGTAGCTGGTAATATGAGAGAGAGAGAGGAGGGGGGAGGGAGAGAATATACACATGTGGGAGGTAGGTGAAAGATACTGAAAACTAGTGTTTCCCTACATGCCTTCTGCATGGTGGTATACATGAATGAAGTGCCCACAAATAAAAGGGTGAACAAAAAAGTCCCTACACATTAACTATTGGATTATTAAGGAAATATTGCATAGATGAGTAAGAACCGTGCTCAGTTCAATATCAATAGTACCTTGGCTTGTTCTTTTATAATTCTGCCAATTACTTTTTTATTTGGCACTTGATAGTTGGTACCATCTCCTTTGTGGTAATACAAAAAGTTGCTTCTCTAGCCAATTGTGAGTTATCAGTCTTTTAAAATTATTGGTCCCTTGCACTATGTTTTAAATTGTTGCATGGAAAACTCATTTTCAACCAGAGACTGACATTTTTAGGTCCTCAATCTCCTTTAGTCAACTTCCAATGTTCTATAGATCTGTGTGGGCCTGACCTTTGGCTCCTATAGGTTGCAGAATCTAACCAGACTGGCTGTGCCTGAAACAACTCCCTGTGCATCCATGCTGTATCTGTGCCTCTGTGTTCCACTCTCTGCCAACTCTGTGCACAGGAAACATCAGCAGAGGAATGCAGTATTCCAAGAGACTTTGAAACCCCCTCAACATACCCTTCCGCTATCTCAATCTCCCCTGCTCATTCACACTACGACTGTATTCCATGGTGTCTTACGGTAGTATGTACTTTAAAAATCTATACTATGTGAAGCTCTGTGCTTCAGAATTAACATTTCAAGCCCTATGCTCAGTTGTTACAGCACTCACGTTTACACAAAGAGTCCAGCTCCTCACTATGATACCAAAGGAAATGTCCCCTTAAAATAAGGACAGTTGGTGTTCAGTGCTGAAATGCAAAGGTATAGGCAAGTATAAATTCACAGTTGCAGCCATTCCATCTTGCTAGGGTTGCATTTAAAGTTGTTGCAAATCCCTTCAACTTATGTTGACTGCCCCCAGAAGAAGTTTAAGCACCCTTCCCCCATTCTGCAAAATAGCTCTGTTTGTTGTCACAAAGTCCTAAATTTAAAAAGAGGATTCCTGGATGCTTAGGATAACTGCCAAGTCTGGTTCTAGGAGAGCGACAGATGATGTTTACTTCAAGAGTTGTTATTTTAATTATAAATGCAAAGTACCTGCTGTAAACCTGGCTGAATTTCAGTCTCCATATATGTGTCTGCTGTTATTTGCTTCTAGGTTCACATTTTCTCTACGACAAAGGCAGAGAAAGATAGGCAATTTTTTCTTGTTCCCTTCCTTCCCCCAACCTGAAATATGCTAATTTCCAGCTGCAGCTAAAAAAATTATGTGCAAATTTAAGCTATGACCGAGTGACTGGTGAATAGTCCATGGAGCAAAACTTCAGATGCTTTGGATAAGAACATAAGAAAATAGGTGTGTTTTTAGGAGCATTAATAGAGCCAGCCTATACTGTATTTCTGGAAGAGATGCAACATGCTGTTGGATGGATCTTTATTTCTCTCTACTAGTTATTTCACATTTCATAGTGAGAACTATTACGATAGAATTCCTCACTTGAAACTTCCCTATCATCAAAACTAAATTCTGACCTCAGTCATAAGCTGCTCCTATGCTTGTGACATTTTAGAAAATAGCTGACACATGAAATTCCACCAAGCAGACTCAGATATTTCTGTTCTGTACCATCCTTCAGTGGATCTAGATTTTCCACCATTAAAAAGCTCCTGCATGTGAAAAAAGCTAACTTTTCCTGGTTGCTACTGTTTAATATCCAGGAGTTTGTGAAAAGGAGAACTATTCCAGGATTTGATCCCTCCATCTACAGTTTGATGTAGCAGAGTCCAACAGAATTCGGATGACTGCTCTTGGACCATATGTACTCAAATATATATCCAGCAGGTCTTAACAGGTTCTATAAGAGTCAGATGGCAGAAATTAATTTCATAGAAATAGTGGCCTGTCTTGCCTGCACATACCTACTG